GGAAAAAAAAAAAAAAAAAAGAGAGTGTTTCTCAAATGTTAGCATAAGTAAAAATTTCCTGAGAAACTTTTTAAAATACAGTCTCAGGCCCAGCTTTCAGAGACACTCAGTGAGTGAGTCTGGAGAAGGCGAAAAAAAAAAAAGAAAAAAAAAAGAAAAGAAAAGAACCCAAGTGATTCTGTTGCAGGTGGTTCTAGAAAATCATGCCTACAAATCCTGTATCCTCTTCTGATCTTCTAGTCTAAACCGCAAATGTGAACCTTTCTTTTTTAAACACATAGAAAAGATTTAAGTGCTCCAACCAGAAAACAGAAGTGCAGAGGCCAGTGAGCACAGAGGACAATACTGCCTTCAACTTCGTCCCATTCTTACAGGACCATAAAATCGAGTCATATGATTCTCCTGTTCAGCTCTTATAAGGGTAAGAGCAGTGGGGACCCAGACAGTAGAGGGTCCTGGTGGGAGGGAGCAATAGGTGTGCCTGGCATTTGGGTCCTACTTTCACACATTCTTAAGTGGTAGAATTCAGAGGGAATCTTTTTTTTTTTACGTTTAAAAAATGTAATCTTGAGCACTCTGATGAAGAAAATAGAGTTCAATGTGTCCAATCTAGATTGTGATTTACAGTCTAATGCTTACTTGTATCGATTATTTGGCATTAAAGACAGGTTATGGTTTTGGCATCTCACTGGGGTTTGACTCCTGGCTGTGACAGGAAAAGCGATGCAATCTTAAGCAAGTTGTTCTTCCCTCTGATCCTTCAGAATCCACCTCCTTAGAAGGGAACATACAGCTTCCCAGTGGAGTTGTGGTCAAGATAAAGGACTTTACATCCCAGGGCCTGGCACTTGGAACTTACTATGTTGTCTTTAATCTTCAATCCAGGAAAGACTAATATTGACTGTGCTGATATTAATAAAATGCTAGAAAACACTGTTTACAAAAATGTTAATAAATCTGTCAAAATTGTTGTTGAAATGTATTCAAAACAGTTGAGGAAAATGGAACCAGTGTACTATAGGAAAAGAATCATGGATTCAGGAAAATTTATAGGAATCACCAAGAAATCAGTGCTCTCCATAATACAATCATTCACACTTTATGAGTCATAAAAGTATTTTATCAGTTTCTTATAAAAAAATTGAAAGTGACTTTATTACCAGAGAGCAATAAAGGAGTAGATTATCTGTATTTTAAAAAGTTTCTCAGGTAAGTTTTACTTATGCTAACATTTGCACAGCCTTTTGCCCAGTTCAACAGTGGCCCAGGCTGAGGTAACTTCCCCTTTGAAGTACATCCTACCAATCTCTTCCAGAACATTATATTTGCTCTTCTGAATAGAAGCAATTCTTGCTTTCCCATTTTACATCAGCACTTCCCAGCCTTTTCAGGTAATAATTTCATGCCAGATTAAGGAACTGGATTATACGAGTTACAACTAAGCATTTCCTATTAGAACTGGTCAAACAGAAATACAGAGCAGAAAGGATAGATATTATTTGAGGAACAGAGCCGGGGGGGAAAAGTCAAGGAAAGTCAGCAAGCAGAAAGACCTGACCAAGAGTTTAACTTGACACCGGAGAAAACTCCTCTTCACTCTTGCTATGCCTGTGTTTGTAGGCACAGGAATGACCAAGGAGATAAGTGTGATGGAAAACACTTGCTATTGAGAAAAAAGACTTTTAACAAAACAATTTCCCAAGATCTTTAACGATGATGGTTCTGGAAAGAAAATATAATTCCTTTCCTGGATTTATCTTGAAAGGCATAATAAAAACAGGTGAGCAATACTGTTTAGGAAATAAATACCCTTTTACTCTTTCTATTTACATGGCAAAGGACTTAACATTTCAGCGTTTCTTTTGTTATTCCAATCACACACCTGCAGCTCAGTTGCCATCACTGTCTACTGGAATCAGCAGCCTGAATTGCTGACAACCCACAGGCACACCATCCAAAAGGGCACTGTTCTTCTTTTTAGTGTATTTTTCCCTGTAAAACTCCCATGTTATCCGTCCTGAAATTATTTGTCTTCTAACAGTATATCTATTCCCACTGAGTCTCCTAGAGCATTTATTTGAATGCAGTTTGTAGAACATGGAACTTGACTAAAGAAAAATGGTCTCTTGGCTACCTTAGTTTATATTTTGCCAAAAATCATCTCAGTAATCTTATCTCGGTCTGCGCTATACTTTTTTTGCTGGATATAATCTTTACTAATCAGTGAAAAAAAGGTTATCTGAGGTGAAACAAGACTAGAGATAGGTGTGGAGTACTAACTCAAGACGTGGTTTTCGTGACTTGAACTGACTTCCCAAGGTTTATAGAAACACAATGTATAGATATTACCCTGTGTTATTATTTTTAAGTTAAGAAAGAACAAACATTTTAACCGAAGGAAGTGGGTGTTGTTTTTTCGTTTTTCATAAGCCATAACGCATAGATTAAGGAAAATATAACAATAGCCAATCATTTATTTGGTTCAGAATTATGTACTTCGTACTCTAGCAGTTCCACTTAAGGTTTCAATCAGACTCCAGCACCAGGAGTGTTACTTTAGTCAAATAAGTGTATTAAGCAGCTATAAACACATATAAGAGATTCTTTTGTGAGGTATAAATACCTTTCTAGTGAAAACACACCTGACAAACTATGTAAATCTACAGCCCATGAAAATGACTTTATGCCACTAACACATGAATATTTGACATAACTTAGTACAATTGTTTGTCAGAAACTTCAAATATGAGCTAGAAGTCCACTGAAAGTCATTTTTGAAATATTAAACATTCACTGACTAATGATATTGAAACTATCTAAATGACTTACTGCCTTAGGTTTTCAATCATTTTTTCCATGGCTTCCTCCCAGCAGTAAGCCTTAACAGATTGGATATTTTCAATAATTTCTGAGGTGATCACGAGTCTTTCATTGATTTTCCCAGCTCTCTGATCTCTGTAAGGCAATCAATTATTCAATTTAATAATTAGTAAAAACAAGTCACATTATGCACTAAGAACAGCTCAAGCTTTTAAAAAGTCATATTTCTTTGATTAAATAGCATTTTATTATCAAATACATGAAAAAATAATAGCTACCACTTAATAAATGACCCCTATGTATCAGACGTTGTAGAAGATGCATTCCAAACACTATTCCTGATCCTTACTGACAGTCTAGGAGTGGTGGTTATCTTTATTTTAAAGATGAAAAACCAGAACCTCAGTGGAGTCAAGTGGCTTACCTAGGTCACACAACTAGTAAAGGTGCACTCTGGGACTCCAGCCAAGGGCTAACTGACTCCAAAATTTGTACATTTTCTACCATGTTCTAGCCGACAAACTCCTCTATCTAAGCAATGACTGGTATCACTGAGTCACTCTGTAATATAAAGTAACTAAGGCTTTGATGTGATAATCCATGAACCAGGTAGTAAAAGCTTATAAACTACCCCAAATCTATGTGTTCCTTCCCACTCAATTAATGTTTTATCCATTATACTCAAATTTCATGATCTACAAAAAATAAATTGGCTGGTGACATATTTATAAAAAAATTCTACAAATTGACAAGTAAAAAATGTCCCATTGATATAGGAAGTATTATTGGCACCATTAAAACAATTCCTTGATGGTGTGCTCACTGCCCGAAGTCAAGTCTCCTTCAGTCACCATTTATCCCCCCTTTACACTCTTTTACTTACCCTCACCCTCCTTTCCTTCTGGTTATCACTATACCGTTGTCTATGAGGTTGCTTTTTTCCTTAATCCCTTCACCTTTTCACCCAGCCCCCAAACCCCGCCCCCTGACAGCCCTCAGTCTGTTCTCTGAATCTAATTTCCATTCTGTTTGTTTATTTTGTTCATTTGATTTCATATATAAGTGAAATCCTGCGGTAAAAAAATAAAATAAAATAATTCCTTTTTAGGGACACCCAGTAAGTAATACACAGAGCAGTCCTGGGTTTATTGAGAATCTAATTTAAAACCCTTTCAAGCTATGGACATAGAGTGCTACCTGTACTTCATCATCATTCTGCCTAGGAAAGCTTGGAAAATGGAGAGGACTATGAGGAAAGCAAGTCCACAGAAGGCGGAGGCCTGTAACAGTTCCCAAAGCAGCCCCATCAGGAGCGTCACTTGTAAAGGCGCGATCCACACGAAATGTGCCAGTGCAAGTCCCTGGAAAATAAAACCACAGTGAAAACTGGTGAGATTTTATCCCTCACCCCACCCCACCCCCCAAAATAGGCAAGCACAGATGAATGATCTTATACAATCAAACACTTTATGATTCTCAGCGCACTAAAATCTAGGTATTCATTACATAAAACACATAGCAATATGTGTAAACCTTCTATACACAGACTAGGATTTCCCAAGGAACACATTTCAAGTTATTGCATTTTTATGTATGGGTTGTTTTTTTAATCCAGGGGACTTGACATTGGATCTCTTAAGTGTCATGTCAAGAATTTCTTTTAAATAACTTACTTCTATTTGGAAAAGCAAGAGCCATGAGAGAACAACTTTCCAGAAGCCCAGTCTCCACCAAGGCGCAACTCTGACAATATATTCAGAATAAATGCATACTCAAAGCAAGAGTAATTTATCTAGCGCCTGTTTAGGGCTCAATACTGTGTTAAAATTAAATATTGAAAATGCAAAGATCAATAAAACACATTATCTGTTCTCAAGGACCTAGCATTTATTTGTGACACAAGATGGCACTCACCAAAAATTGCTCAGAATATCATATTCAACCAAAGTAAATAAGTGATTTAAGGTATTAAAAGAAAACAATATCTGATAAGGATTGAATTTTGAAAAACCTCACCAAATACCCAGCAAGCTGAGGAGCCTCTGAGTTGGGTGGTTCCACAAGACCCCAGGATGGCACCTTACTACACAACTTACCTTTCTCAGTTTTCAAAAACAGGGAAGATAGAGAGATGTGTTCTACTTAACCACTTATTACCATTATCTGATACAGGAAAACCTTCAGGGTTGTACGATTTTTAATGATAATGCATAAAAGATTGTATCAGTAGGTACATACTTCATCAAATTTGTTCAGGTTATTGGAAAGGAGACTGACAAGTTGTCCAATACTGATTTTATCTAGAACACGGCTTGACAGCTTTAAAGTCTAAAAGGAAAAATAGGAAGTTAGATGATGTGGAATAACCAAAGACAAATATATCCATAAGTAACATTATAACACAGCAGAGGAATTAGTTTACTATGTGTGTATTTTTAAGTAAAGATAATGAAAATTATTTTATGTTCACTTGGCTTTTTATCTTCTCAGATATATTAACATTGCTCTTCACAACAAATATTATCCTGCATGCCCCTCGTTATTTTATTTTCCAGCATCAGTAATAAGTATTTTTTGCTCCTCCAAAATGGAAATGCTCGTCCTAAATACTTATTTATACAGTTTGAAGGGTTTGTTTTATTGTTATAAACATGGAACCAAAGGCAGTGGAATTTTTAATTAAAACTTTGGCCTTGCCTTGGCCGGTGTCGCTCAATGGGTTTGGCATTGTCCTCTGCACTGAAGGATTCCCCGTTCAATTCCTACTCAGGGCACATGCCTGGTTATGGGTTTGAGCCCCAATGGGGATCATGCAGAAAGCAGCCAATCAATGTTTCCCTCTCACATCAGCATTTCCCTCTCCCTCCCTTCTCGCTCTAAACATCCATTTAAAAAATCTTTTCAAAAAACCTTGGCCTTAAATTTTGCTTGCAGTCCTATTGTAACTCTACTGAATAAAATTAATGTCAAAGTCTATTAAAGTGCATTATGAATAACTGAAGCATTAATAATTTTGTGAAAGATTATACCACTAATATAAAATCTTTAAATTTTACCAAGAAATACACATCCATATACACAAAAAAAGAATTGTTTAGGCCGTGGCCAGTTTGGCTTGGTGGATGGAGCATTGGCTTGAGGACTGAGGGGTCCCAGGTTCGATTCCGGTCGGGGGCATGTTCATTGGTTGCGGAAACATCCCCAGTGGGAGGTGTGCAGGAGGCGGCATTTTAGTAGATAAATGGATTATGATTATAAAAAATTACAGTCATACTTTGCAAAATTTAATAAGAATTGATTTTCCATTTATATGAAAGTATCCATCTAATATTTATTTTAACTAAATTTCTCATATATGTGTTGAGCACTTAATTGATGCAAATCACTATATTTAAGGCTTCAAAGATTATTATTAAGATTTAAAAAAACATAATTCTTGCCTCAAGGCAACCTAGTACAGACTTATCTAAATATGATAAAGATAAATGAGTTAAAGGGAGTAGAATATAATAGAGTGGTTAAGAGAAAGTTCACACATCTGGTTACAAAGTGTGGGAAAATTTTATTAAAGGGGTAGAATTTAAGATGGGTGCTGAATAATGAATAGCATATAGATAAGCCCAGGTGAAGAAGGAATCAAAGCAATTAATTCCAAAACACTATTAGAGCAACATGAGGGTAGGGGAGGAATCCACTGAGCTGGATCACACATAATTTAGTAACAGACCCAGTCTCAGGTGACTGAGTTCTCTCTCCACAGGGCTCCATGTTAAGCACAACAAACACTCAGTGAATATGTTTCACTTTAGTTTTCTTTATTTTATTGAAAATCACAGGCAAAGCTAAATTTAGTTTGTACTTAGATTCATTATTTAAAATATAATTTGAACATGTCACAGTTGCAGATTTGGAAACAAAGCAAAATGTTGCCCTATTATAAAATTTGGAATACTGCAGAAAGAATTGGTGGTGGCCTGCCACATGGATGAAAATGGTCACCCAAAGGTACCGGTTTACCTTAGGGGCCAAACCACAGCCACTTGGAGATGCAATTGCATCCTTTGGCGATTATATCAAAGAAGGCTAATAAATGTGGCTAGATAAGTAAAGCAAACTGGATAAGAACAGATATTCAATCATGAGAAAGAAGGAGACGACAGCTTCTAACTTTTCATGAACACATTCTGGATCTGAAAGCACATATATGTATTACTGTATTTGTGCTAAATGTTATATGTGGGGACTTATTTACAAACTAACCTGCTCCTTCTTTGATCTCTCCTCCCCTTTAGCCCAAACCATTTCATGATTTTCTCTTCCCGTATAACATGGTTTCTCTTGCTACATGATTTCAGTGCTATTTTCCCTAATACTTGGAAAACTGTTCACTTCAAGGATTATGATTTATCCATTTTAGAAAATTTAAACAGGTTTTGCACAATGTTCTCTTCTCTTTAGGTCTTAGTTTCTTAAAAATCTTTTATCCAAAGAAGAGGGGTAATAGCTCCTACCATAGAAAGTTTGGGAGAGGCTCAAATGAGATAGTATACCTAAATCACTTAGAAGCTTGTCATGCACGTCATTAGCTATTACATATATTATGACAATAGAACTTTTATAAATACTTTTAAAACTGGATTCAACTTTCTTTAACATGCTTGCTGTGCAGATTCTACTTTCTAAATAATCTATAATAATAAAAGCATAATATGCTAATTAGACTGGATGACATTCAGGACAAAGCCGGGGCTGTGACCAAAGCCCGGGTCCTGCAGTGGGAAGCTGGTGCCGGCAGCTGGGGGAAGGAAGGCCTACCCTTGCACAAATTTTGTGCATCGGGCCCCTAGTATCTAATAATTTCTTCACAAGTAAAATTTCTGGATCAAAATAAAATTTAATAAAATTGCTGTTGATTTATCACCCATGCTTTCCTGGTACTTGTGAACTGATAGACTGCAGCTGAGGTGGTTTAAGTAAAATGTGGACTCCATTTTCTTTTCTTGTACCTCCATAAAAGGCTTCCTTGAACAATAAAGTATGGCTATCAAGGTTTTACAACACAACTGACTTTGCACGTATATTCTAGAAGTGTTATGGGTTATTTGCTAGAGGTAATTTCAGATGCATGACCCTTATAAGCCACTTAAATAAAGGTTTTACATTGAGAGAATAAAACAGAGAATAAGGGTAAGGCAGTATCCAAATGATTCAACCTAATGACTTGGTAGATATAATCAGTCACATCTGGTCTTGAATCATGTTGTTGAAAACACGTTATTGAAATTATCTTAAATTGTGTTTGCAAGGTAGCTAAATCTTAATCTGAATTTACCTAAATCATGCTTCAGCAACTTGGGTTCTTGTCTGGACAGTACACACAACCAGAGAAGGGTCTTACGTTGCCAACCAAGTGCTGTTCTAAAATATTTTGATTTGCAGAACTCACAGAATGACAAAAATCTAACTCAAAATAAGGCAGTGGGTAGGTGAATACACCACTGTGTCATAACTAGTTAAGATGAAAACTTTCAGTACTTAGATTATCATTAACAATTATATACTATATTCTTATTGTGTTGTTTTAAATATATTTTTATTAATTTCAGAGAGGAAGGGAGAGGAAGAGAGAGCTAGAAACATCAATGATGAAAGAGAATCATTGATTGCTTGCCTCTTGCATGCTCCCCTCTCCCCCATTGGGGATCGAGCCTGCAACCCAAGCATGTGCCCTGACCTGGAATTGAACCATAACCTTCTGATAGGTTGATGCTTAACCATTGGGAAACACCAGCTGGGCAATATATTCTTAGTGAACACAAGCATGCATGGCATTTTGTATAAAACAGTATTTTGTCAACAATGGGGCCTTGACTTACGAGTTTAATTCGTTCCAAGACCGAGCTCGTTAAGGAGCTTGTTAACTCAAATTACTCTATCAACTTAATGCAAAAAGTCGGCCAAGAGACAGCTGGTATCTCAAAAACTTGTTAGTCGGGACACTCGTAAGTCAAGGCCCCACTGTAACGTATGAAGATGGTAAGAATCATTTTAATGGGGAGCCATAGATTCCAAAAAATGGTGACATGACTAGTGAAAAAAACAAGAATGAAACTATACTATAGGCAGTTTATAGAAGGTGTTCAATAATTATTAAAGTGAATTAAATTATCAAAGGGAATTTGAAACATTAATTATTGCTGCCACTTATTTCACAGACTTATGAAACTGATTTCAGCATGTATCTCTAATTTGTACCCACATGGCATTTAAACCATGATGCTACTCCATGTAGCCTGGAGACTATGCAAGGAAATATTACCTTCTTATAAATCAAACTAAACAAAGCTATCCTCATTTGCATTCCAATGTGATGAAGGCCAAAAATGGCTGGGTGCAGGAGCAGCGTCCTCAGGATAAAAAGAAGGCATAACCCTATGCCCAGGTAAATCGCAATGGAGCGTTCCACCTTATTATCTGGATCATAGGAAGCTATGATTCTTCCCAGTAAAAGAGGCTGGACTGCTTTGGTGACCTCCTGGAGAAGAGAACAAACAGAGAAATGAAATTTTATTCCCCTTTCATAAAATATCCTCACAATTTCAACACAGGAAGTTTTTATCTTTAGAGGAGAACTTAAAATTGCTACACAAAGAACCATGTCATATGTGGTAGAGAAAACAAAAGACAGAAATAGCGATGTAAGAGAAACACATCGATTGGTTGCCTCCTGCACAACCCAGATACATGCCCTTGACTGGAATCGAACCCAAGACCGTTTGGTCTGCAGGATAAAGCTCTATCCACTGAGCTAAACCAGCTAAGGGCATATGTGAAATTCTTGCTATTGCTTTTAATATCTTTATACTTAAACTCCCTGTCATTGTGTCACCATTACATTTTTCCATAACCTGTCACCTCTATCACAATAGACCCATTTGCTGAATTGTTCTTCAGTTGCAATTTATAATAAAATAAATGAAAGGTATGTTACTCTGATTTAGACATCTATTCTACATACTGTCATTAATGAATTAGTTAGTTGTCATCTGGCCAAAAGAAGGCACACTCATCCCTTGAACAACAATAGCTATTCCACAAAAACACTGGTAATATTACTCTGGGAGGGTGCATGGTCATAGAAAAAAATGCCGATTATTTTCGGTAGAGAAAATTCCAGTAATAGGACCATCTGCCAACATCAAACCAACACAAATCTCACAACATGGAACTGTTAATATTCAAGGGTAAAGTCAGCATTCCAACCCCCGCCCTTTAGTTTTTCCTACTCTGTTTTGAGCAGCATGTTCTCTAATATTTACAATGGAACCATTAACAGGTATCACCTGATTTTTTTATTTGGAAGGGAAAACAATGGTAACTGATACCTAGCTGAGTCTTTGAAGTACAGTCCTTTACTAAAATCATCCCTGTAATGACTGGGAGAAACATCATCCTACATTCTTGGCATGTGAGGGCTGTGTGTACACTATTGGTCAGATTACTTTCGGAGTCGCAAGAAATGTCCCAATAAGGCACCATATAAAATAGTGCAAGCAGGCTGAGGCTTGAATGTAATAAGAAGGAATATAAATTTACCTGAAAATTTGATCAAATATTTCATTACTTTTTATCAGACACAAATCAAAATGGAATTTGCTTAATGGTTCACTAGAATAACAGAAGAAGACAGATACAAATGTTTAAAACAGCATGACAGTGAAATGAATACTGAATTCAGAGTCACAAAACCCACATGCTTATCCCAGCATGTTACTTACACTCTTTGCCAACTTAGCCTAGTCACTTCCCTTCTCCAGATGGTTTCCTCACCCATAAACTGAGTGGTGGAGCAAGCTGGTCTTGCAGGTCCCCTTGAGTGCGAACATCTCTGATTTTATGGCCTGAGTCAGGGGTGTTTCATGGCACAGGCTGAGGATTTCTTGGGCAATTGGCCTGGCCCACATCCTGCCACCATAGAGGTGTTTTCTACTCAGGGGGATACAAGTCTGAACAATGTTGAGGTCAGAAGACCAAGTGCCTAGAGAACAGCACAAGTAATTGCATTCCTGGTGGGAATTCTCTTGAGTCTCAGTTTAGCTGAGTCTCCTGGAGAAAAATTAAGAAGCCTGAAAATAACTCCTGGGAGATATATCTGGTCTCTCATGGGATCCTCCAGACCAAAGCTTAAAGTCACTGTGAATCTAAATCCTTTAGCAATTCTGTTCTGCCTGCATACCCAGGACAGGGCCAGATGTTTCTACATAGAAAGTTTGCTGGATATTCAGACCATGAAAGAAAGTTTGATGAAAATAGAAAACTTGGTTCAGGCTTGCAATTACATTAAATGAAATAACACCAAGATAACTTTACCTTGAAAATTGTAATTCCAAATGCAAAGCACACTGTTTCTAACACAAATAGAATGATTAATTGAAAAACTTACAAATTTATATTATTTTCTATTGTATGTAGTCAGTAAAATCATCATCATCTCAATTCACTTTAAATATACTATATGTATTAATCCCAGGAATTCTAGGTCATTATGTGAGAAGTTAAGATTTTTTAATATTGAGAAATAAACTAATAGCATACCAAAAGTCTACAGAAGAAACTATGATTATCTCAATAACAACTATAAAGTAATCTGATAAACTTCAGTATCTGTTTCTGATAATCTCTATACACTGAGTGGCCAGATTATTATGACCACCTGACGTTTGTAGGCAAATTAGCTATAATTTCATGCTGAAGTTGCTAGAGGGCCAGACCATTATAAATAGGAAGGCAGGTTGTTTACCACAACAGTTATCCAAGCACAGGAACACAAGGATTGGACAGTAAAGCACTGGAAAGAAGTCATGTGGTCCGATGAATCACGTTTCCAGTTGCATCATGCAGATGGCAGAGTGAGAATTTGGTGGAAACAGCATGAAAGCATGCACCCCACATGCATGAGTACAACCCTTCAAGCTGGTGGGGGATGGTTTGGGGCATGTTTTCCTGGCGTGATTTGGGCCCTTTAATTCGCGTGGAACAACGTCTGAATAGCACAACATACCTAAGTATCATTGCTGATCAAGTTCATATTATCATGTTGATGTTGTATCCCAATGGAGATGGCTTCTTCCAACAAGACAATGCGCCATGCCATGGTGCTCGTATTGTGCAGGAGTGGTGTCAAGACCATGAGGGAAACTTTACCTTGCTTAGGTGTCCCCCACAATCACCAGATCTCAATCCAATTGAGCATTTGTGGGACAAAGTTAAAAGAGCCATCAGGCAGCTGGTTCCACAACCATCAGATCTCACAGAACTGTACAGTGCTATTCATCAGGCCTGGTGTCAGATTCCTCGCGTCACCTTTCAACATCTCGTGGAGTCAACGCCAAGAAGAATCACCGCAGTATTGAAGGCAAAAGGTGGCCCAACGAAGTACTGATGGGGTGGTCATAATAATCTGGCCACTCAGTGTATATAAAAGTCTAAGTGTCCGACTGGCCAGTACATATGACGCGCACTGGCAATTTAAAAATAAATGTTGACTTGTGCACGATACATATAAAACTCTTGCTGGCTCCAATCGCATGCATGTTTTAATTTTATGACCCTATATTATATATACTATTTTCACGTGTAATTTTTTGCAGTAATGTAATTACCACACAAGTCTTTCTTCTAATTAATTCCCTTTCAATGTGCACAAATCTGTGCACCGGGCCACTAGTGTTCTCAATAAACTCAAATATTAAGATAATAGAGGCCCAGTGCATGAAATTTGTGCACTGGAGGAAGGGTCCCTCAGTCCGTCCTGTGCCCTCTCACAGTCCAGGACCCTCTGGGGATTAGGACTAAGTTGTCAGTCGGACATCCTTAGCACTGCTGCAGAGGTGGGAGAGGCTTCTGCCACCACCGCTGTGCTCGCCAGCCATGAGCCCAGCTTTTGGTTGAGAGGTGCTCCCCCTATGGGAGCACACTGACCATGAGGTGGCAGGTCCTGCGCTGAGCGTCTGCCCCCTAGTGGTCAGTGCACATCATAGCAAACTGGTCGTTCAATTGCTTTGCATAGTAGCCTTTTATTATATAGGACTATAGGCCCTATGCACGAAATTCGTGCAAGGGGCTCAGCCCTCACAGCCCTGGCTTTGTCCAGAAGGTCGTTCCACTGTTCAGACATCTGGCCTAATTAGCATATTACACTTTTATTATTATAGATTTCATTAACCGGAGAAAAAAATTCTCCTTCAAAACAACAATCAGTTATTGTTAATAAAATTTTGAGTCTTAGCTTTAGAGTCAAATCAATGCAAACAATAGCAATACTGGCTAATAGTACAGTAACATTATTTCTGTAACTTTTTGCTAATATAATTCAAAAAGAAAAACAACTGAGGTATGAATATTGGAAAGGGGTAGTAAAAGTATCAGTATCAGCATAGAATGTGATTGTCCATAGAACAAATTTTAGTGAATCAAGAGTTTAAAAGGTAGAGATTTAAAAAATATTTATACTAAGAAAATAGATTCCTACATGCCAAGCATAATGATCAATTAAATAAGTATCCCATTTATAGCAATATTATAACAAAAATACATTGTAGATATCAATAATTAACAAATATATATCTAGAAATATATTTATAATACATTACTAAGATATATTTTTTAAATCTCAAATAAATAAAAACTTTAAAGCTTTCTAAAAAGAAAAACTGTTGCAAAGATTACAAACTCCTCCAAGTTATTTTATAATATTATGCAGTCTTCATCAGAATTCCAAGTAGTTTTTGGAAGAGAACTTTTATGCCATAAGAGCATAGGTGCTCTATCTTAGTTCTTACCAATCTCAACACCATGCACAGTACCTAGCACAGAATAATCACTGAGCATGTATTTGTAGAATAAATAGATAAAGTGATTCTAATGACCTAACCGGTTTGGCTCAGTGGATAGAGTGTTGGCCTGCGGACTGAAACGTCCCAGGTTTGATTCCAGTCAAGGGCATGTACCTTAGTTGTGGGCACATCCCCAGTAGGTGTGTAGGAGGCAGCTGATCGATGTTTCTCTCTCATTGATGTTTCTAATTCTCTATCCCTCTCCTTTCCTCTCTGTAAAAAAAAATCAATAAAATGTATTTAAAAAAATAAAAATAAAGAATGTTAAAAAAAATAAAATGATTCTAATTTTCTTTTTTTTTAAATGAGAGACTAATGAAAAACATTTGAGGAATAAGAATAATGTGTGAGAGGGCTTAGATTATAAATATCAAATCATATTATACAACTATAATAACATATGGAATGAGAAAGAAATAGATTAATTCATTTGAAAAGTCCCAAAACTGGTTCAAGTACACTTAATAATTAATATGTAATAAAATATGGCATTTTAATTCAGTGGATATAGGCTAGATCACACAATAAATAATAGAGAAACTGAATACTCATTTTAAAAAATTAGATTTATTTTAAATAATTATTTGTAAATTCCAGTTAATATACAATATTATATTACTTTCAGGTGTACACCTCAGTG